TGTTCTTTTCCAAGGAATACCCTCTCCTAGCAAAATGACTGAAGTATGGGAGATGAAGCTTTGCCATACTTGTTCCCAAGGTGCAGGACTCTGTTACACTTTTTCCAAGACATACTTCTTTGTTCTTTTTGCAGTCTATGGAATATTCAGCACTTTTCTCCAACAACATAGCTCAAAGGCATCAATTCTTCTGTAATTCTTATCCACTGTCCACCAATCAGAAGAATAGCAAGTGGCCTGAGAAAGACCATGGCCTGAATCAGGTGCATCCTAGGTTTTCAAACTGACATCATCACTCCACAGTAATTTGGAGAGGTCCCTGATGGCAGAACTGCCCAATGCAATACATTTCCCAATCTCCTAACTGATGGCACTGGTAACAAGGCTGTTCATTGTGAATTCAAGTAAGATGAAATCATTGACATTATCAGTCTCTTCTCCACTAATCATGATGATGCCCATTAGCCCACTGGAGAGAATTTTTGTCTTGATAATGTAAAGAAGCAATACATATTGAAAGATGTTGTCTTTGATTTTCGGCAAAAAGTAATTCAGTCCTCCCCTCTTTCAGCAAGGAAGATTATGTTATCTGTATAACATAGATTGCTGATGATTCACCCTCTGATCCTGATGCCACATTCTTAGTAATAGAGTAGCTCCTAAAATTATTTGCTCAAGGTAGAGACTGAATAGAATACAACCGGGATCCAGAGCATTCATAATATACATATATGTTGTTTTTGTTGTTGTTGTTATGTGCCATCGAGTCTCTTGCAACTCACAGCAACCCTGTGTACAACAGCCCTAAACCCTGCTCTATCCTGTGCCAATTGCACTGCTTCTGACAAACCCATCCCGATTACTACAGTCACTGAATCAGTCCACCTCATAGAAGCCCTTCCCCTCCTGCACTGTCCCTCCACGCCACCAAGCACGATGTCCCTCTCCAAGGACCTCTCCCTCCTTACAACATGTCCAAAGTATGTCAGACGAAGCCCCAGAAACCTTGCCTCCAATGAGCAGCCTGGTTTAACCCTCTCCAGGATGAATCTGTTTGTTTTCTTGGCAGTCATGGTAGATTCAATACTCTTCTCCAGCACCACAG